CTACTGAAGAAGGACGCGGCGGACGCCATCTTCCTACAGGAAACACATCAAAATAAGCGGGGCTCAAATGAGTTAAAGTCGAGCTGGATAAGGAACTACGAAACATCTTTTGGGACATCAAAGTCAAGAGGAGTAGCAATAATAATAGCAAAGAAATGTAATTTTGTCATAAACAAGGTATTGAAGGATGAAGAGGGAAGATATATAATAATATATGGGGAAATAGGGGAGGAAAAATATGTATTAGTAAATGTATACGCACCAAATGTGAAACAGCAAGAATTTTATGAAAAAGTGTTAGAGCAAATAGAGAATTACCATCAACAAAATGTAATATTTGGAGGAGATTGTAATTGCTGTATGGATTTAAAGAAGGATAAAACTACGATAGCATCAAAAGCTAGAAACATTGAAACAACGGAATTAAGCAGAGTAATGAATAAATGGCAATTAAAGGATGTGTGGAGATTGGTAAAAGGGAATGAAAGTAGATATACATATTATTCATCAGTACATAAGGTGTATACAAGAATTGATTATATTTTGTCTCCAAAAATATGACAAGTAAAGTGCTAAATGCTGATATAGGTATGATTAAGATTTCGGATCACGCTTTGGTTTCAATTGAGATTGCGTTGAAATGTGATTATGATGAAATGAAAAGGTGGAGGTTAAACACAAGAATACTAAATCATAAAGAGATAGTAGATAAAGTGCAAGCAGAATGGCAAGAAATATGGGGCTTCAACGAAAAGGGGGTGACAAAAGGAGTTCTATGGGACACTATGAAAGCAGTGACCAGAGGGTTATGTATAAAAGAGACAATTAATTTAAAGAGAAGGCAAGAAGAAAGGAAAAGGAATTTAGAAAGAGAAATAGAAGAGATTGAAAAAGCATATGTAATAAAGAGAGATACACGAATTTATGCTAGGTTAAGAGCAAAAAAAGAGGAATTGGATAAAATGGAAATAGACGAAGTACAAGAAAATTTAATTTATTTAAGGAGGGAATATTTTGAGTTTAGTGATAGGAATTCAAAGATCCTAGCCAAATCAACACAGAAAAAGAAAATGGAAGGAACGATAAACATGATAAAAGATAAAACAGGTAAATTATGTAGAGCTATGAAAGAAAAATTGAAAGTATTTGAGGAATTTTATAAAATGTTCTAAAATGTATTGACAAGGGGTGGCTTTGGGGTAAGTAATAATTAATGCTTTTTCAGAATTATGTAAAAGTTTTGGATTGTGTAAGGGGAGATGTGAATGTATAATATAATAATACTTATTTTAAATGAATCTTCTCTGGCCTCAAAGTTCCAAAGGACATATTTATATTCTATATTGAAGTATTTTTTTAAAATTTCAATAGCTCCTATATTTAAAATTTAGAGGGGAGATGGTTGAACACTATAAAAATTAAGTGAAAGTTCCCATTTTAATTTAAATAGAAAGCCCCACTTGGATGATTTCGTGACGGATCCTATAAACTTAATTTTACCCCATTATTGAATTTGGAGTGAAGTATTGCCCTCTCATGTAGACTTTATATTTGATACCCACCTTAAGACTTAAGACCGACTATGCCCATATCGTTATAACCAAGAACAAGATTATCCGCGATATTATCTAATGATAAAATGTTGTGATATAGTACAAAGATCCAGTGTGGTTTATAAAGGAAGCCAATGTCTTTGAAGGGAATCTATAAAATCATGGGGCCAAAGAGGGAATGAGGCAGGATTTATCATTGATTTTTTTAAGCGTTCATTGTGGGAATGGTAGACATTAAGGGAATTTGATATTGAATGGGAATGAAAATAAGTACTAACAATTGTATTCGAATCATTCTCAGTATACTATAATGATGGAGTGACCATGACTCTTGAACTCGAGGACTAGACCAGCGTTGGCCTTGTCCCCGATATATGCTACTTTGGTAGAACTTTTTGCTAATAAATAAGAATGATAAACACTGTATGGATTATGAAAGAGAACAGCAGTAGCTTATTTGCTGACGATACATTGTTATTTATAGAAAATATAGTGGAGAAAATAGATAGAATAAAAGAACATTTGGAGACATTTGGGAAAGCAACGGGTTTACAAGTTAATTGGAACAAGTCAGAAATGATGCTACTCAACTATACAAGAGAAGAAGAAAAAAAATAGAACAGAGAAAATGGGAATAAGAATTAAGAATAAATTAAAATACTTGGGAGTAATAATAACTAAGGATTTAAAAGAGATAGAGGAAGTAAATGTAGTAACTTTAAGAAAAGAAGTTCAGAAAAAGTTAACAGAGTACGAAGGTATACAATTATCCTGGTTTGGAAGGATAGCATTAGTAAAAATGAAAATACTTCCAGAAATAAATTTTATATTTAGAATGCTACCACTTCAAATCACAGAAGAAGAACTAATTAGATGGCAACAAATGATTAATAAATATTGCAATGGAAGTAAAAGAAACAGGTTAAACAAACAGCTATGGTATAGATCGCAAAAGGAGGGTGGACTAGCACTACCTAATATAAAAAAATATTATGATGCAAGTAGATTAAATTTGGTTATAGAAGGAATGGTTAAAAAAAAGGGAATAGACTGGCTTAGTAATGATTCAGGAAAAGTGGAAGATGAAACCTGGAATATATTTTTTAAACAGCTTACTAGAACAGAATTGAAGGAAATTAGAAACCCAATGTTGAGTAACATACTGAAAGTATGGAATAAGTACAAGGGGAGGTTAATAAAGGAAGGATCAATTATTACCCCAATAGTGATGGAAAAGAAATTCCCAAAAAATTTAAAAAAAGTAATGGATAAAAAGGTAAGGGAAATAAATTTAGATAGAATAGGGGATTGGATGAAAGTGGAAATGAAGAGGGAAAGGATGTTGGAAGAGTTTAAAGAAATAAAATTATCATGGTTTCACTGTATACAATTAGAACAATGGTTAATAAATTGGAAAAAGAATAATAGAAATGGAGGCCAACTTAATCAATTCGAACAAATAATACAGAAGGGAAGGGCAGTAGAAGAACATGAAAACTTGAGAGGTATAATTAGCAAAATCTATAAGATACTAATTGAAATGAGGGATGGAAAAATAAAAAAGTGTACCCTTAAGGAGATTTGGGAAGAGGATTTAGGGATAAAAATAAGCGAAATAGATTTATATGTTTGTAAAATGTTTATTGTTTTGTGTTCTGTTTATGTATGTAAATAAAAATTATATTTAAAATGTCTTATTTTCTTTTATATAGGTTATTAAAAATTTTGTGAACGTTTTGTGTATTTCTAAATGTCGTATTTTGTACATCTGGTTCAATGAAGAGTAGCATCCTTAACCAGAATTAAATTCATCACATGTTTTTCTAAAGGAGATCACTAAGACAGCAAGTTTAATGAAGGATTTTCTCCAAAAGTTTCAGGGAAAAGGAAGCACACAATACAATAATTTGCCCATGTTTTATCTCTAAATTCACTCTGGTATTATTATACACAATTTGCAGTCTAGGAGATTAAGCAGCTCACAATATTTATAATTGCACAAAAGAAGCCCAACTTTTCCATCAAGTTATGTATGTTCTCTGCAGCTTGCAGCATTAAATAGGACTTGAGAACCTGCAGCCCTCCAAATTACTTTCCAACAATTTCCAGGGGCACCCCAGGCTTCACATAAAATATGGCTTTGCCACCTAATTGCACTATTTTGACTCAAGCACCTAAATCTGAGGCAGGGTTTGTTATGGATCTATATGGCTTTTGCCTGAAGACAAGCAAATAGTTCTGTGGAATAGCTCTGCAATATTTCTTTATACATACAATTTATATCCTGCCCTTCCAGTACTTCTACACTGCTCAAGACAGCCAGTAATGAAAACCTGCAAAATAGAATTGCTGAACACATTATGAAAAACCAATTTATCATACTGCAGATTGACTATAATTTTTACAGTGCACTGTGCGCTCAGGATTTGAGCTAGGATTAAATTGTGGACTTCTATTGTCTGCTTCTAAAAATTATGTTTTTGGTTTGAACTTATATTTTTAAACCGTAACAACATCAATGTGCTGAATCTCTAATTTGCCCAGTGTAAATCTATGGACATAAATGTTACAGGTCAGGGAAAGGGGCTTGAGACTTCCTCACAGAAGTCATGATGTTTCTTTTGCACCATGCAGTTTTTTAAAAAACCCAAGCTTAAGATGTATACTTTGTGCTAGTACTTTTCCATCCATGGGCTCTTCCAACTGACCTAAGACACTCAGATGGTAAAGAAAGCTCCTTGGGTTTTGACAGATGCTGTTGCTTTTGCATCCTTTCCTTGCATTCTTTGGTGATGCTCCTATATGTACTAATACATATTTTTTTATCTACACTAGGACATTTCTGAAGTTTATTAAGCCAGGGCTTGGTTTGAAAAAACCCCATTTTATTCTCTTTTTAAAAGAATTTATAATGCTATAGCGCAGCAATGTTATTTCACGGACGCACTATAACTCTTTAAAAAGAGAAAAGAGTTGGGGGGTTTTTTGAAAAAAAAACCTAATCACTTTAAATATTAAAAAGACAAATGGGAATAAAATGTTGCAAATGGAGCTGGGAATTGTTAAAAACTAGTTTGGAATATGAGGCATACATCTTGTCTTTTTAAAACTAACCATTGCACACCGCAGCTACAAAGCCAACAGTCTTGATATCCTTTCATATTCAACTCATCAGGCCACTCATTACTTTCAGTAATCATGTTTTTACTTTATAACAGGCCAGGAAAATACTAATTTATTACTAAACCAGTAATGAACAAATTTTACACCATCTCTATAATGCTTCAATCATGAATATTTATCATTTGCTGGCTGCAACATCAAGAAATAGTATGCCTGAGGGATATAACATCACAGCTGGACATTACTCCAGAGTAATTATTTTAAATGGAGCTTGTATATGTGCTCAGATGCCTACCACTGGATGTACAGCAATCAAATATAAAGCACAATCAACATGGATTTTAAGGGCAGATTAAGAAACATATACTCAGTCACTCCTAGTTTAGTAAACATGTAGGTTTCGGTTCTCTGAAATAAATGTCCCTATTTAGAGAGAAAAGAGCTATGGTTTGAACACTGGACCAAGGCCTGATTCCCTACTAGCCAAGGAAATCCACTGGGTGACCTTGGGCAAGCCACACTTTCTCAGCCCCAGAAAACTCTGTGATAGGATCCCTTTGGGGTCGCCATAAATCGGAAGGAACATGAAGGCACACAAAACACAATAAAGTGGAAACAAACATTTGAGAAGCCTTTATGTTGGTATTAATACTGTATAAACTGCACCACACCTTGGGGTAAATGTTATTGACTGTGGTTGGATCTACACTGCCATTATATAGTCCATGTAAACTCATACAATTCTGTTTAACTGCATAATATGGGTCTAGATCACATTATGTGTATAACTCCTATACCAGATTTTATTTATTTAGGCCCCTTCTACACTGCCATCTAAAATCCAGATTATCTACTTTGAACTGGAATATATGGCAGTGTAGACTCATTTAATCCAGTTCAAAGCAGATAATGTGGATTATCCGACTTGATAACCTGTATTATATGGCACTGTAGAAGGAGGCCCAGTTCAAAGCAGATAATCTGGATTTTATATGGCAGTGTAGAAGGGGCCTTAGTCCATCTTGCAAGTCAAGCAAACACCTGGAAATTCCCCTCACCACATGCCTTTAGAAGTACTAGGTTCCTCCGGCGCGGACCTCCATTGCGCAGTGACAGAAGCCATGGCGATCCGCTACCCAATGGCTGTGGGCCTCAGCAAAGGCCACAAGGTGACCAAGAACGTTTCCAAGCCCCGCTACTGCCGCCGCCGCCTGACCAAGCACACCAAGTTCATCCGGGACATGATCCAGGAAGTGTGCGCCTTTGCTCCTTATGAGAGGCAGGCCATGGAGCTGCTCAAAATCTCCAAGGACAAGCAGGCCCTGAAATTCATCAAGAAAAGAGTGGGGACCCACATCCGGGCCAAGAGGAAGCGTGAAGAGCTCAGCAAGGTCCTGGCTGCCATGAGAAAAGCCGCAGCCAAGGAGGACTAAACAAACCCTCTGGCTCCCTCAATAAAAGCTATTTCCTGAAGAAGAAAAAAGAAGTACTATGTTCCTATTGCCTTCTTTTCAATGCAGTCATCCAGATTTAGAAGCCAATGACTTTCAGGAAAGGGTTCCTGGGACTAGTGAAGTTATCAACTGAGAGCACAGTCTCATGCAAGTTGACCATCTCTTATCTGGAAATTCACAACACTCCAAAATCCAAAACTGTCTACATTAATGGCTAAGATAGTAACACCTGTGATTTCTGATGGTTTAGTGCAAACAAACTTTGTTTTGTGCATATAATTATTTAAAATATGGTTTATAAAAATTATTTCCAGGCTATATGTATAAGGTTATATGTATAGGCAATATGTATAAGTGGCAGGTTTGAAATACTATGATGTATTGCTTTGGCACTGTTTACTGTTTTGAGTCTCTTTTGAGAGAGAGAAATGAGATACAAATAAATAACAATAACACTATGTAATGAAATTTGGGGGAATCTGTTCCTGATTTTAAAGTGTTATTTCCTGTATAATTGTGCAGCACTTACTTTGAAAGTAGTCATTATACTCCAGAAACTTTGTTTTTGTGCCACAAACTATGTTGAAGTGGTTGAGACTCTGAGAAATTCACTGAAAAACTATAGTAAAAATGTACTGCAGGATGTCTTGCAAAAAATGTTTTCGCAGTTTAATACACTTTTCCCATTTTTATAATAGGCCCAATTAGGAAATGACACCTATAACCCAGGAACAAAAATCATCTTTAGTTCTGTTTTAATGTTTGTATGCTTGTAGATTTTAAATTGTATTGAAATGCCTTTAATGTAAGCTGTTTTGAGTCTCCTTGTGGAGAGAAAAAAAGGGGTCTATATAAACATAATAATAATAATAATAATAATAATAATAATAATAACAACAATAATAAAAGTAATAATACCACTATGTAACAAAATTTGAAGAAAAAAATGTTCCTGCTTTAAAAGAGCTAATTCCTGTATAATTGTGTGGCACTTCCTTTGAAAGTAGTCGTTATACTCAGAAACTTCATTTTTGTGCCACAAACTATGTTGAATTGGTTGAGACTCTGTGAGATATTCATTGAAAAACTATAGCGAAAATGTGCTGCAGGATGTCCCTCCCGCAAAAATAAAGTTTTGGCAGCTTACTATACTTTCCCCATGTTTTTATGACAGAACCAATTAGGAAATGACATTCATAACCCAGTAGCAAAAACTGAGTTACTGGTGCCCCTTCCACACAGCTGCATAAAATCCCACATTATCTACTTTGAACTGAGTTATATGGCAGTGTGGACTCAGATAACCCAGTTCAAAGCAGGTATTGTGGGTGTTCTGCCTGGATATTCTGGGTTAGATGGTTGTGTGGAAGAGCCCTCGGATAACCCAGTTCAAAGCAGATACTGTGGATTATCTGATCGGATATTCTGGGTTAGATGGCTGTGTGGATGGGTCCTCAGATAACCCGGTTCAAAGCACATACTGTGGATTATCTGACTGGATATTCTAGGTTAGATGACTGTGTGCAAGGGCCCTCAGATAACCCAGTTCAAAGCAGATACTGTGGATTATCTGACCGAATATTCTGGGTTAGATGGCTGTGTGGAAGGGATAACTCAGTTCAAAGCACATACTGTGGATTGTCTGACCGGACATTCTAGGTTAGATAGCTGTGTGGGAGGGCCCTCAGATAACCCAGTTCGAAGCAAATACTGTGGATTTTCTGCTTTGGTATTCTGGGATATAGGGCTGTGTGTAAGGGCCCTCGGATAACCCAGTTCCAAGCAGATATTGTGGGTGTTCTGCCTGGATATTCTGGGTTAGATGGCTGTGTGGAAGTGCCCTCAGATAACCCAGTTCAAAGCAGATACTGTGGATTATCTGACCGGATATTCTGGGTTATAGGGCTGTGTGGAAGGACCCTCGGATAACCCAGTTCAAAGTAGATATTGTGGGTGTTCTGCCTGGATATTCTGGGTTAGATGGCTGTGTGGAAGAGCCCTCAGATAACCTAGTTCAAAGCAGATACTGTGGATTATCTGACCGGATATTCTGGGTTATATGGCTGTGTGGAAGGGCCCTCGAATAACCCAGTTCCAAGCAGATATTGTGGATTATCTGACTGGATATTCTTGGTTAGATGGCTGTGTGGAAGGGACGGATAACCCAGTTCAAAGCAGATATTGTGGGTCTTCTGCCTGGATATTTTGGGTTATATATTTATTTATTTATTTATTTACTCCATTTGTATACCGCATTTATCAGCCTGAGACGGCGACTCAATGCGGTTTATAATAAAAATGGGCAACACTAAACAATATATAAGACGCACATACACAAACAACACACATAGTCATCAACGCCTCAATTAGAATCAGATCCCGTTCTCACAGTCCTTTTCCGTTCCTTGTTCAAATGCCGTCTTACTGAGTTAGTTGTCATTGCATAGTTATCCAAATGCCTGTTCATAGAGCCACGTCTTCACCCTCCTCCGAAACACCAGTAACGAAGGGGCCTGCCTGATGTCCACTGGTAGGGCATTCCATAGCCGAGGGGCCACCACCGAGAAGGCCCTGTCTCTCGTCCCCGCCAACCGCGCTTGTGACGCCGGCGGGACCGAGAGCAGGGCCTCCCCGGACGATCTTAAGGTCCTCTGCCGGTTCATAGGTGGAGATGCGTTCGGAGAGGTAAGTGGGGCCGGAACCGTGTAGGGCTTTATAGGCTAAAGCCAGCACCTTGAATTGTGCCCGGTAGCAAATTGGCAGCCAGTGGAGCTGGCTCAGCAAGGGGGTGGTGTGCTCCCTGAGTGCCGCTCCCGTTATATAGCTGTGTGGGAGGGCCCATAGTGTAGCACTTGGTATCCCAAGCATTTCAGACAAGGCAGACTTCTTTAGACTGTGACCCTTCAGTTTTTGGGCCTCCAACTACCAGAATTCCTGTCTACTGAACAAGCTGGCAAGCGCTTTTGGGAGTTGGAGGCCCAAAGAGCTGGCGGGCCCCAGTTGGAGAAGGCCTGTATAATAGTGCAGATTACACCTCTCTTTGGCCGCTTTGCAGAGCGACGCCAGAGCCCTTCCTGTCAGAAGGGAAACACTCCCCGAGAGCCCCTGTGAGGAGGGGAGCCTTCGGGCCTTCCTTCCTGCTCACCTTGTCGGCCTCCAGGCGCGTCTCCAGCACTTTGCGGAGCTTCCGGGAGAGAGGGTTGGGCCCGGGCCCCCCTCCTCCTCCGCTCAGGCCCTGCGAAGAGGAGGAGGCGCTGGGTGTGGGCGCCGCAGGGGAACCCGCCATTAAGAGCGGCAGTGGGCGATGGAGGTCTTCGGCCGCCGCCATGTCTCTGCCCCCCCTCCCCCTTTCCTCTTCCGTGGCGCGAGAGAAGCAATCGGCCGGGCGGACTTGGAGCAGCGGCGCACCGGACCTCCTTGACCGAACAAAAATGGTTCCGCCCACTTTCTGTTCCTACCGGGCCCGGCTTCGCATGACGTCATCCAGCAGAAGCCACAAGTTGGTGGGAAGCATCTCAGAGTCTCTCTCCCTGGCCTGCGTTCCCCTTCAGCATTAGCCAGCACACCCAGGGCAGGCCTCCTCCAAATGCAGCCCTCCAACTCTTTGGGACTCCCACTCCTAGAAGCCCTAGCCAACTTGTTCGGTGGTTAGGAGGAGTTCTGGGAGTTGGAGGCCCAAAGAGCCAGAGGGCCACAGTTTGAGAACCGCCCAAAGATACTCAGCAACCTCTTTCTCTCTATCCTTGGGGTACAGCTGTTCCCCAAAGAAGATCTCATTTATTATTATTATTATTATTATTATTATTATTATTATTATTATTATTGTATTATAATAGTAGTGATGTTGACAGGCTTTACCTGCCCAGAAAATCAGGAGGCAGAGGGCTTCTGCAAGTGAAACAAACGGTAGAAGAAGAGAAATATGCCCTGGCAGATTATGTGAAAGGCAGTCAAGAACCAACATTGAGGGAAGTCAATAGTAATAAACTGCTTAAAGTGCAAAAGACAAAGAGCGAATACTGTAAAAACACAATCCAGAGCAGAAGATAAAATGCAAAAGAAGGCTCTCCATGGACAGTTCCTGGGAAAAATTGAGAGCCAAATTGACCAAGAAAAACATGGCTGTGGCTCACAAATGGGACTGTGACAAAGGAGACAGAGGGCCTGATTCTCTCAGCCCAAGAACAAGCCATTAGAACTAATGCCATCAAAGCCAGAATTGAAAAGACGACAGATCCAAAGTGTAGACTCTGCAAGGAAGCAGGTGAAATAATAAATCACATTCTCAGCTGCTGCAAGAAGATCGCGCAGACAGACTACAAGCAGAGGCATAACACCATTGCTCAGATGATTCATTGGAACCTGTGCCACAAATACCATCTGCCTGCGACAAAGAACTGGTTGGATCACAAGCCAGAAAAAGTTACCAAAATGAACACATCAAGCTACTCTGGGACTTCTGAATTCAGACAGAGTTTTGGAGCACAATACTCCTGACCTCACGATCGTGTTAAAAAAAACAGTGTGGATCGTTGATGTTGCAGTCCCAGGCAACAGTAGGATTGAAGAAAAACAACTGGAAATGCTGATACGATATGAGGATTTCAAGATCAAACTGCAAAGACTCTGGCACAAACCAGTCAAGGTGGGCCCAGTGGTGATCGGCACACTGGGTGCAGTGCCTAAAGACCTTGGCCTGCACTTAAACACAATCAGCGTTGACAAGATTACCATCTGTCACTACTGTCCGTTTTTGGTTTAAATTATTTAGTTGCTTTTGCTCCCTTTATTTTATCAGTTTTATACATATTTATTTATGCAACGCTTTTGACACAAAATAAATAAATAAAGCCATGGTCAAAACTAGTCTTGTTTCAGTGTGTGATAATTTACGTCCTGGACTCGAGCACAGAATCTTTCAGTGTCTTAACTCAAGAGCAGAGCTTTCCGAACTGTATGTCGCGACACATGAGTGTGTTGGCTGCTGTGGGTAAGTGTGTAACACAAATGTAAGAAAATATCTCAAGTCCATGTGAAAAAGTGATAAATCATATTTGAAATATATATATAAATGAAAGGTTTCATGAGATATGTTGTGTCCCCATATATTCCATTGTTACAATTTATGTATGTGACTGTATCTCTTATAAGGGGTTGGTTTAACCTCTCATTTGCTGGTAATGAAGCAGAGCATGGATTTAGGGGTCCTGCCAAGCAGAAACTGGTGAAGACCCAAAAAGAGGGTTCACTACGCCTGGTTCTCTCCTCTCTTGTGTACTTGCCTTCCTCATCCCCTCTCTTGCGCTTGCCTTCCTTCTCTCCCTCTCTCGCAAGCCTTCCTTTCTCTCCCCCCCCCCCTCTCAATGGCCCTGGCTCCCAAAGTAGGAGAGAAAGGGGCAGTTTCCACACACCCCCTTTCATACCTCAGTCATTCCCCCTTCCCCAGTTTCCCTCTTCTCACCCCAATCTGTCCTACTTTTCCAACCACCTCTTTTACACCTCATTCTCCACTTTTTCAACCACCCCACCCCTTCCCATTCCAACGTTTCTAGTCCTACTTTCCCACCTCCTTCCCACGCCAGTCTTTCCCACTTTTCCTTATTCATATACACAAAGCATTTTCCCCAAAATGTATAGTAAAAATACACTATGGTGATTATTGGAATGATACGTAAGCACATTTACATTGTTTATCAGAGTTTGATAGTCTTATCTTAAATTACGGTTTTTATGTAAATATTCAAAAACATTTAACCTACTGATTCCTCAGTTAACATGATTTTATTGGTATCTATTTTTATTTTTGAAATTTACCAGTAGTTGCTGCATTTCCCACCCCCAGCTTATATTTGAGTCAATAAGTTTCCCCATTTTTTGTGGTAAAATCTGGTGCCTTGGCTTATATTTGGGTCATTTTGTACTCGAATATATAAGGTATATAGAGAGAAAGAGATAGTATCAGGAAGGGTTTTGCTGCCTGTGTCCCTGTTCAGAAGATTTCACCTCACTTTCCATCCCTGTGAGAATTGGATTTTGAAAAAAATGACTTGTTGTGGAAATAAGGATGGGGGAGAAAGCTTCAGTGGAGAGACTTTTTCCCCATGAAAACTCTTTCAACAGTGAATTTCTCTTCCGAGGAGTACATTTCTCTCACTTCCTGTTGTCGCACCCTCATTCTTTACTATGAGACATGATGTTTGTCACTCACGGACAGCCTGTATATGTTTAGGACTTTTATTTCCAGAGGTTGCAGCTCACATAGGTCATAGTAAATAGATATGGACTTTATAGTTCAAAAATCTGAACTATACTAACCTTTGCTTGGGATCAAAGCCCTGAAATGCTTTTTTCCCCCCACATAATATTTGCAGCCACTCTGTTAAGTGAATCAGTATTACTATCCCCCTTTTTGCAAAGGATAGGTTGAATTGTAGACTGGTCTAAAGCTACCAAATGAGTCCGTGCCATAGACATAATTTAAACTCTAAAATTCCTGATAAATTCCTTGACTGCAAATTACTACACTAAAATTTCCAGACAGGGCATGTACCGTATTTCTACTTGGAGCAGACGCCCTTGCATTGTCAAGGAGAATCCCCCTATAATTATAAGTAATTTCCCCTATGTTTTCTAATCTCATCACAACCTTTTTGTAAGGGTCTGATAATCTAGTCATCATTAATAAATTACATTTCAACAAGAATGCACAGGGTGCTTGGATCGGTCCTTAGGTCTGTGCCAAGATACATGCAATTTGCATTCTGAATAGAAAGCAGAAACATGAAGTACGTATTATAGTCACAACAAAATGGGGATTTGGGAGAGTCATTCAGCCTGTGATAACAGAACTCTGACTTTCAGACTAGAATTAGATATTCCTGGAGCAAAGCAAACAGCTCCATTCTGAAAAGCATGCCTCCTTACCTGTGTGCCGTAGTGATTTTCGCAGATACTGCTCTTATTGAGGAAAAGCCAGCCATTATGGGATTCAGAGAGAGAGTGCGGACCCAGGATGCATTTAGAGTTGATAGGGGAAACATTCACAGTGCAGACCCATAGAAAACAAGACCCAAAAGGTGTAAATTCCATTATCTATCAAGATGAAGTATCAAAGCTCCTTGTCAGGAAATTGAATCACAGAATCGTGGAGTTAAAAGAGACCACAAGGTCCATCGGGGGTTGGACTGAATGGCCCTTGTGGTTTCTTCTAACTCTATGAAGAGCTGTAGCACAGCTGGTTAATCGCCAGCAGCAATAGATCACTGCAGACCAGAAGGTGGCAAGTTTGAAGTCTGAGCTGGATTAAGCACTTGACTGTTAAGCCTAGCTTACTATCCACCTAAGCAATTTGAAAACAGCTGAGCTGTGAGTAGAGAAATTAGGCACTGCTTAAAATGGGGAGGTATTGTAAAATAAAAATGGCAGTGATCAAAGAATAAGGAGGAAATAACTTGGCGTCATAGTGGATGAAGTGACAGCACCCTCTGTGGCCGGAATTGGGCATAACCTCCAGGCGCCGAAGTTGGAAAATGCCAAAATACCTTATCTCCCTTGTATGTCTAAAAAAGGCATTGAATGTTTGGCGTGCATGTGGGCACTGTGATCTGCCGTGAGTCCCCTTCTGGGTGAGAAGGACGGAATATAAATACTGCAAATAAATAAATAAATAAGATTCTATGTTTTTTTTCAGTTCAAAGCCTCAATGTTTTATACATGTGCAATATTCTCTTGATGAGTAACCATAACCTTCTCTATTTTGGTATTCACCATTACACATGCTCCTGAACAGAGTGCATGTATAACATCCTTGAACTAGAACTCCTAACATCCCTCGCTATTGGTTGTGCTGGGTAATCCAACAAGTATCTGGGGGGCCATGAATAACCACTACTCTAATACCAAGGATGTATCATTTTTGTGGAGCCCCCGGTGGTGCAATGGGTTAAACTCTTGCGCCAGCAGGACTGAAGACCGACAGGTTGCAGGTTCGAATCCAGGGAGAGCGTGGATGAGCTCCCTCTATCAGCTCCAGCTCCCCATTGCGGGGACATGAGAGAAGCCTCCCACAAGGATAAAACATCAAAACATCCGGGCGTCCCCTGGGCAATGTCCATGCAGACGGCCAATTCTCTCACACCAGAAGCAACTTGCAGTTTCCCAAGTCGCTTCTGAAACGAACAAAAAAAATTGAGGCAAAATGCAAGGCAGCTATCAGGGCTGGCTGAAGACACTTTGCTTCCTTCTCCTTCTTTGTAGAGAAATGAATTGGCCTTTGAGCTAATTTTTCTTTCATTGCTACAGAACTCTTAATCAGACGAGATGTTAAGCAAAGAGGAGCAAGGCTTGTGAAGTCTGCATTTGTCACAGTCACTTTCGCTTAGCCCAATAAAGATATATGGCTTGATTGGAGCT